ATCGGGACAGGGGGTGGGGGGTAATAGGAGCCTATATAAGAAAAAGACCCCACAAGCTGGACTGTCCCTATAAAATAGGGACATCTGGTCACCCTAGCACCACAGCTCAATGTAAGGTGGAACAGATTTTTAGCATTAGTGGCAGATTAGCCACTGGGCCAACCATGCCCAGGGGCCACGGCCAATTGGGGTCCACTGGAAAAATGGATGCCCCAACCCTCTCCACCCAGCGCTCCTGTGCCCCAACCCTGCTCCCTGGCAGGAGCACCGGGCGGAGCGGAGCAAGCCCCCGTGCCCTGACCCCATTTCCCTCGCAGGAGCGTGGGGGGGGGGCACTTGCTCTGGCCCAGGGCCCCACAAACCCCTAATCCACCTCTGTTTAGCATAAGTAGTTAGCACATATTCTAAGGCAGTGGTTCTCAACCATGGGTCTGCAGCTCCCTGGGGAGCTGTGACCCAGTTTCAGGGGGTCCGCGAGCCCCGGTGCCCTGTGGGGCAGAATCCCTGAGCTCATGGGCAGAGTTGTAGGAGGGCATGGGGGGCATTGCCCCCCAAACTGCAGTGCCCTAACCAGAGCGGGCAGTTCCAGGGGCAGCTCCACACCTCCCCATTGCCTCCTCTCCCCCACTTCCCCACGGCCCCATCTCCCAGCCAGGTCAGAGGCCAGAAGCCGGAGCCAGGCATTTCGGGGCGGCTGCTGCTCTCACTGGTCCATGGAGCAGTCAGCCACCTCCCCGTCTGCTGCTGGTGCTCTGGGCTCCAGGGTTGCAGCAGCTCCTCAGCTCCCAGGCCCCTTTGACTGCTTGTGCAGCTAATAAGAGCTGCCTGGTGGGGAGACCCGGCTCCAGGGCCGACAGTGCCCTTGGGGAGCAGTGACCACAGGAGGGGGCTTCCCCGGCACACAGCCCCTAGCTATCCCCTCCCTGTACCCTGAGCTACCTGCACACAGCCCCTAGCTACCCTCTCCCTGCATCCTGAGCTACCCACACACAGCCCCTCCCTCTCCCGGCATCACAGCCCCTAGCTACCCTCCTGCCTGCACACACCCTCTAGCTCAGAGGTTCTCAACCTTTTTCTTTCTGAGGCCCACACAACATGTTATAAAAACTCTATGGCCCACCTGTGCCACAACAACTGGTTTTCTGTATATAAAAGACAGGGCCAGCATTAAGGGGTACCAAGCATGGCAATTGCCTGGGGCCCCATGACACAGAGGCCCCCACAAAATTATGTTGCTCAGGCTTCGACTTCAGCCCCAGGTGACAGGGCTCAAGCCAGCCCTGTACGGTCACGGTGTGGCTTCGGCTTTCTGCTCTGGGCCCCAGCGAGTCTAATGCTGGCCCTGCTTGATGGACCCCCTGAAACCTGCTCGGGGGCCCCCAGGGGGCCCCAGACCCCTGGTTGAGAACCACTGCCCTAGCTATCCCTTCCTGCACCTGAACTACCCACACACAGCCCCTAGCTACTCCCTCCCTGCACCCTTAGCTACCTGCACACAGCCCTTAGCTACTCCTCTCCCTGCACCCTGAGCTAGCCTCCCCGCCTGCACATAGCCCCTAGCAGCCCCTCTCCTTGCACCCTGAGCTACCCCCACAACTGCACACAGTCCCTAGCTACCTCCTCCCTGCATCCTGAGCTACATGCACATAGCCTCTAACTACCACTCTCCCTGCACCCTGAGCTACCCCCTCCCCACCTACTCACAGCCCCTAGCTATCCCCTGCCTGCATTCTGAGTGATTTTTAACTTTTTGAGCTGAGCTCCTCCCTTTCAGTTATAATTTTTGGTTGTACCCCCCGCCCCCAACCCAGATAGGCTGGATGGCCTGCTGAGGTGAGTCAGGGGGTGGAAGTGGCGATCTCTGCCTGGGCCCCAT